GAGGTACGAGGTAGACGGCGAGAGTTACCTGCTCTTGTCTGTAGGGGGTCCGGTGGGGCCCTGTAGGGGTGGTCTCACAAGACAAAATGAGTTTTTAGTTTTGTAAATATTTTATTAAAAAATATAGTCACAACTGTCGTAGGATTTTAAATGGACATTTAAATGCTTATATGTACCCCAAGGAGGACTTTCTTCAAAGAATTCATAACCTGTACAGGTTTGTAAAATTTTTTGTTGTGGTCTTCACCTTTTGGTCAACCTTGCCGACCAAAGTGCGTCCACTCTCAGCCAGTACGAGGCTAAGATTGCTAAAACATCCCGGTTGGAAAGTGAAGTTGTAAGTTTGATTAGGATGTGCTGCAAGGCGTTTTCACGTGGAGGGGACGAAAAAAGCAGTTGCTACGAACTTATGACACTATTCTTAGAATCAAGGGGGGTAAACAATAAATTAACAAATTTCCGTGGCAACCGTTTCAATATCCTTTTCCACAAAGCCACGGTGGTATATTATTTACATAAGCATTTTGTATCTTTCTTTGATACTGTAAATGCAGGCTCTAATCTCCTTTTGGCTTCCATCAAACAATCACTACACAATAGTTTAAATTTAGCAGGGTGTCGAGCTTTAGGCCTGATTTCCAAATTTATCACTACCCCTCTGTGGAATATTTTGGAGGGGTGTGATCATAGCATGCTGGACATGAGTAGCATCTACACAACACTCATACACAACATGCAAACTCTCAACTACACACAGTTTATTTTAGGGCAATGCAATTTATTCATGGCAAACAATGACAGAGACTCTGATTCAGGTAACAAAGACAAGCGGCTGACAATGGCGGCGGTGGTCCTGATGATACTGCTGTTCCCAAACAGACAGATGGCGTGGTACTGACTGAACTGACAAAAGTGGGGACAGTGGCGCCGACACTGAACACATTCTGGAAATTTAAATTCCAAATTTGGCGACCCTACTGCAGCGACTTCTGACAGACCAACTCCTGGCGGGAGCACTCTGCAAAACAAACCTCACCCATCCGAAGGTAAATCTGTAATCAAGCATAATAAGCTCCCGAAACTGTTTTGCCCAATTAGATTATTTACAGCATACCAAACCCTCTTCCTCTATTTTCTCCCAAGAGGCCCATATCATGTTTAATTTTAATAAAGTAAGCAGCTGGATCAGTGCTATGTCCAACCAGGAATGGACCACCGTCCTGGAGTCGCATCAAAATTGTACAAAACTACATATGCAACTTTTATTACGCAAAAATGACATTAAGCAAGCCAAACATGACTCAGACAAAACAAGAACAAATGGAAAGAAAAAACAAAAGAAATTAAGAGAACATGCACAACTTATCCAAGACATATCCTTTGAACGTCTTTGGCAAAGCGTGGCCGAGGTAGACAACCGACTTAATCATGTATATTCAAAAACATCCAAAACACAGAAGATGAACATAATAAAAAAACAGATAAAATTCCGCAAGTTAGTGTTAAAACAAGATGCACCTCCTGAACTGTTAACATTTTCTAAATCCTCTAAACCTCTTACTATTAACCAATTATCTAGTAATTTGAAACCCCTCATACAACTTAATCTTGCACTTGAAACACCGGTGCCAAATGAAGTGTCAATTTCTGGTGGGGCAAAAAGTAAATCATTTATGTAATTTAGAAAATGGGGAACAGAAGTATTATGTGGGAATGGTACTAGGGCAAGTTACTGGCTATCCATCGTGGTTCAACGTAACATACAATCTATACCTTTGAACTTTTAGACGATTACACAGCCGGGGACTTACAGATTATTCATCTATAGCAGTATCACAGTAAGATATCATGAAATGTTCAGTAAACGTTGTGTGTTTCAAGGATATATTTATTCTGTTCCCCAAATCACCAAGGATTTTAAGAGCGCTTCAAGTCTTTTTAATTTTTAATTTTACTTACATCAGCAATACGAAAATCACTATAAAAGCGTTCAAGAGTAATGTATCATAATAATGTGAATGTGGTAACTATTTATACATATTTCATTAACGAGTTCTTCAAGCAAAGCGCTTCGTTATAAGCTTCATACATATTTATCGTTATATATAATGACTGCTCCCTGTGAGCCAAGGGTGGAGTAACTCTGATATGCTAACCACGCTCTTTTTCAATATGCAGAGTGAGGTCTGCCTAGCAACTGGAGCCAGGTGGAACGTGTCGGTCGCTGGCGGTCCTTCGAAACCATCAACACAGATAACGGTAAACACTTTCGAAGCATATAAAACAAAATTGACTGTATAACCCTCGACACACAAAAGGTTTTCATTCTAATTAAACCACGATCTACACAAATATATATTTGGGGTATTTTTAATAAAAAATTCAGATTTCAACCCAAAATACCTACTCCATGTACTAGACATACACGGCTTGAGAGTCAATTCGAGGCAAGGGTACATACACTCGCTGCCAGTAAGACTGTCTATGAATGATACTCCATGTACTAGACATACACGGCTTGAGTGTTAACTATATGTAGGGGTACATACACTGGCTGCCAGTAAGACTGCCTGTGAATGATACTCCATGTACTAGACATACACGGCTCGAGCGTTAACTCGATGTAGGGGTACATACACTCGCGGCCAGTAAGACTGTCTGTGAATGATACTCCATGATCTAGGCATGCATGGCTCGAGCGTTAATTCGATGTAAGGGTACATACACTCGCTGCCAGTAAGACTGTATATGAATGATACTCCATGTACAAGACATACCCGGCTCGAGCGATAACTCGATGTAGGGGTAGATTCACTCTCTGCCATTAAGACTGTATATGAATGATACCCCATGTCCTAGACATACACGGCTTGAGCGTTAACACGATGTAGGGGTACATACACTCGCTGCCAGTAACACTGTATATGAAAGATACTCCATGTACTAGACATACACGGCTTGTGCGTTAACACGATGTAGGGGTACATACACTCGCTGCCAGTAAGACTGTCTGTTAATGATACTCCATGTACTAGACATACACGGTTTGAGCGTTAACTCGAGGCAAGGGTACATACACTCGCTGCCAGTAAGACTGTATATGAATGATACTTCATGAACAAGACATACAAGGCTTGAGCATTAACTCGATGTAGGGGTACATACACTCGCTGCCAGTAAGACTGTATATGAATGATACTCCATGTACTAGACATACACGGCTTGAGCGTTAAGTCGAGGCAAGGGTACATACACTCGCTGCCAGTAAGACTGTCTGTGAATGATACTCCATGTACTAGACATACACGGCATGAGCGTCAAGTCGAGGCAAGGGTACATACACTCGCTGCCAGTAAGACTGTCTGTGAATGATACTCCATGTACTAGACATACACGGCTCGAGCGTTAAGTTGATGCAAGGGTACATACACTCGCTGCCAGTAAGACTGTATATGAATGATACTCCATGTACTAGACATACACGGCTCCAGCGTTAACTCGATGTAGGGGTACAGACACTCGCTGCCAGTAAGACTTTATATGAATGATACTCAATGAACAAGACATACTAGGCTCAAGCGTTAACACGATGTAGGGGTACATACACTCGATGTCTGCAAGACTGTCTGTGAATGATAGTCGGTGTACTAGACATACACAGTTTGAGTGCATCCACTTGCTGTTTGTCTATGAATGACTTATACCACATATCTCGGACTGATATAGTTTGGGGATATCTCTCTTCAAACACAGATGGCCATCATTGGGTCCACAACACTTCATTGAAAGTTACATTGCCCAGTTTCTTAAATTCCTGTCAATGCCCATGAAAACCTATTGCCCATGTAAATAAGTACTATTTGCATGGTGATACCATGATAACGTATCGGCAAACTGGACACTTCGACATTTATATCCTTTGACAGCATCTAAGTATTCTCCGTTATACAACCACTTTTCTGATTTGTACAATTTACTGCCATTCTTTAAGACAACAGCTTTTGTTTTATTTGTATTTGCACTGAGAACATATTCATTTACCAGTTCGGTTCATAATTATTGGGAATCTCATGAACATTACTAAAAAGCAAATAAAGAGTGAAATCGGAAATTACACAGTATTCAATACTTGTACATACCCTGTGGATTTCTGCAGGTAAGAAATAATATTTTTATAAGGTCCCCTTTACCTTCCATGCACAGTCTAATGCGGGTAGGCATACTCCCCATCAGAGATGTTAAAATTTCATGAGGGATACTGTCCCAATTGAATATCTCACTACCTCTCTCTTCATGTCTTCAAGTTTGGTGAGTCCCTGTTGGTTAACACTCTCCTTCTTCATCTCCAAAATGTTCTCAATGGGATTCAGATCCGAGCTGTAACTGGGAAATGGGAGCAACGTCACATGTTTCCCTTGGAACCACTGTTTTGAGTGCTTTGCCGTGTGCACGACACTCCACCCCACACATGAAACTTGGGACTGTATTTCGGCGTGTGATACGCCGGTGCTGGATCAGATTTGTCCACATCTTAACATTATTAGGATACACCCAGACTGAACTTTCATCAGTGAAAATTATGTTGCTCCAATCAAAGTTTTCAGGGTGCTGACACCACAAAACACGGCTTTCCTTACGCTTGTCTTTCATGTCTGGAGTCAGCGTTCCTCTCTTTTTCTCCCTTCCAAGATCAATTAGATTTCGTCTGATAGTGGATTTGGAAACACAAGGTGACCCTCTATTTAGCATCTCATACCTAATGTTGGATATACTTGCTATTTTCTTAGTTGAAGCCAAAATACCAAATCTGACCCGATCTACAAATTCCAATTTTCTAGGCCTTCCTGCTCCTTTCTTGTGCTCAATTCCTGCTCCACTCTCAATATTCTTCTTAACCCTGTACACAGTTGATAGAGGAGTGTCTTCTCTTTCTGACAGTGTATGGACATCAGTGATACCTCCATTGTACAACTCTAAAATCAACCTTCTTTACTCTTCAGCGGCCTTTCTGGACATTGTTTTGGAACATGTCGACTACATAAATATCAGGAGAGGTAACTCTAATCTGATATGTCTAGAAAGGTAAGAAGAGTTGCCTCCCTTGGACTGATAGCAGACTTTCACCATCAGTTGAGCTCATGAATAAACCTTGGAGTTCAAACTGACATGAACAATTCTCAGTAATTATGAACCGAACTATATGTTACAGTAAGCCTGGTGGAGCCATTCTTTTTTGTTTAAATTACAAAACTCAATCAGAATGAAGATTTCTTAAAATAACATATGCTTGCTGGTTTAGATATTCGCCAGAATGATCGGCAATGGATACCGTGGATTATGCTGACACCAATCAAGTTTGAGAGAACTGCCAGGTCTATAGGAAGAGAATGCGACATTTGTCAAGTAGGTACACCAAGAAATTCAGCCTTTCATTTCAACCTTCCCACAGAATTCCAAATATAACACAATGGTAATAAGTAATACTTTTGAAAGGTTCTAGTATTTGATGTACTGATGGTGGCACACAGAACAACATTTCTCACATTTTCATTTACTTTTACTTTTGAAGCCCCCCTGTGAACTGTAACAGTCTTCGACTCTGTCTTATACATTGTAGATATTTCCACTGAAGCTCAGTACTTCAGTTACATGTGAAAAAAATAAAAAAAGGAACAACCATATGCATACTTGAAAAAAAACCTGTGTTCAGTCATAACTGTATGTATTGTGAAATAGGATATCCTGGGAAAATATGGTATGCATGATAAAATTTTAATACCACCAACAACATTCTGCGGTGACCGTCATTCTTCACAAATATAATATTGCACTGCATAATTGGCACTAAATTTCACTTGAACATAATTTTCCATCTCCTGGTGTTATTATTTTCAACACTAGATGTGAAACGAAAACACAGAACAGAAAGGCGTTGAAGGCACATTTTATCAAATTATTCCAATAACATATTACATAATTATTTTGATGTATTCGGGACCTTTATTTTCCTAGTCCAGTATCCGCATCAACATCAATCATTTGTGCCATCGAAATTCGAAGTCTAATGTGAAATTAGCCTATTCGAGAAATGATAAACTGCTTATAATCATAAAGCTTTTAAAGTTTTATTTCCCAGGGCTCTGTTTGCTATGAAATATGACTTTGCAATTATTTGCATTAACAACCTAACAAAATGTCTTGTGATTATATCCTTGCTTGGATTATTGTGTTGCAGGCCGGATACTACTGTTGCTGTCCCTGTTTACACTATGTACACATAACGGTATGTTGTAACTTATACTAGTCCGTATTTTTGCATGGGTTGTCATTAAAAAGGATCATAGGTTTGTGCTGTTGAAACATATTATATATTGTTGAAAATATATAACATATTTCAACATAAGGGTAATGATGGAACCAAAGATACAGCAGAAAATCGCCTTTATGTTGCAAAATACTGCCTGATTGTACAAGATTAGTTACATGAGTGTATCGTCAGTCTATTGTGTTAAATTGTATACATCCTGGGCCCTTATTCTCGAAACGTTCGCAGCCCTAAGAATTCTTAACTTTGATCGTAGCCAATGTGTTAAGAATGGGCTTAAGAAGTTAAGTAGAGGACTACTGAATGTTTCGAGAAAAGCTGGCCTGCTTCGTATATCAGTAGTGCCATGTACTTGTTTATTTTAATTATCCTATGGCAAATTAATGACATGCCACAGCTCATCTTTAATAACCCTTTTTATATCACGCACAGCAGGTTATTTATTGAATATGGGAAAATGTAGTTATTCCCATTAGACCAAGTGCATTGCTCTGACATTTGTAAACAACAGTCACTCCTTCACTCACATTTGTAGACAGATTAATTCAGACTCATTTCAGTCGCCCGCCACTCACGGCATATTCAAAAACACAAACTGATCTAAGATAAGGTAACTCGTATGAAACAGACATAATATATCCATGCGACTTGTATTTGCAGAGGTAACGGTGGAAACATGCATCGGTGAAACTGCTTCTTTTCAGTGGGATTACAAAGTACCTCCCTTCTATGCAGTTGAGTGGTATTTTGGAAAGACACAAATAGCAGAGGCATTTGATGAACATCTTTCACAGGTAATGAAATATCCCATTTGCAGACATGGTACCCTGGGTTGCAAGATACTCAACATGTACCAGTAATCATTCAGCTTATTTGTGCATATTTGTTTCACCTCATTCATAATGGACTCACTATTTCAATAAATTTGGGCTATGACACGCTGAGAAAAAATCGATAGTATATTCAAGTCCATAGTTCGCCGCAGTAAACCGAAACAAGTGGAACAATCTACTACACAATTTGCTGTGCAGAGTTGCGTCCCTTGGTCACGCCGGAAGTTAAGATTCATAGATAAATTTCATTGTTTGTCAGGACTACACTCGTGGAATCACCACGTGATTGCAAACGTGAGGAACCCGCATGGCCCCCGGCTTTCCTCTGACTTGTACCTGATGCATGTGTGACTGGGGTAATCTTCAATCACGTGCGTTAGGCTATTGACTTTGATATTAAATACAATATGCCACATCTGCATGAAACTGGATTTACAAATGTATCTTCGAGAACTTGCGTGCGTGATGTCATTCACATGTAGCATAGGGGTACGATACCAAGTCGGTTAATCCAGTACCGAATCTCTTGGATTTAAAAGGAATGCTTGGCGCACCAGCTATATATCACGGAGTAATGCTAGGCTGACCCATTGAGTTATCAATAGTGTGAAGCAGTTGAAGCAGGTAGATAGAGTATCTATTTGTAATTCCCGGGAGTGTGGCAAACACATTACATACTCCAAGGCACTAAATTATCATTTTACGTCTGGAATGTTTTATTCTAATGGTGGTATAGAAGCAGATGAGCTCACAATGGTTGTGGTAGATGATTCTGGCACCCAGTTTCAAACTCGATTACATAATATCTTATCAAACTAAGGGCAGCAACAAAAATATTCTGAGGTTTTGTTAAGGGTTTTATGTGGTTTTACAACAATTTGTAGAAACTCTCCCAAAACAAAGGTGTAGACTTACTTATTGGGAATGATTCGGCAGGGTTGTTTAGTTACTCCAAATTCTGACAAAAATTGGCTGTTGAGGAAGCAATTCTGGACAAATAGCAGTTAGTTAAGTTACACTGAGAAGATTAAGAAATCAAAGTTCTTGCTAATAGGACAGTTTCTTTAGTAGATGCTGACAAGGTTCCAGTTTGCTATTATTTCAAGGATAGTGTTTTAATGAGGAAATGGAGGTCAACAGGTGTGCCTGCTGATAATGAATGGGGGGTTGTTCATCAGACTGTTCTTCCAAAACATGTTTTGAGTTTGTCACATGAAACTCCTTTGGCAGGAAATGTGGGTCTGAACAGAACTTGTGACAACATTTTGTCCCTAATTTGCGTCATGATATGGCTGAATTTGGCAAACCCTGGCATGTAAGCCCAGTGGTTGGCAAACCAAACCAGAAAATACCAGCTAAATCATTAAAACCCATTCACAGTGTCGTCATTGACTGTGTAGGCCTTTGCCTAAAACTGAGTCAGACAGTTTGTATATGCTTGTCATATGTGCTTCCACAAGATTTCCAGTGGCTATTCCTTTCCGGAAAATTACGGCTCTGCAATACGCGTCTACTGAATTCATCTTTTTATAGTGTAAGTTTCGTTTTCTCCTTAGTATATAGCTTGCCGAGTCTAGCTTAGCTGCATTAATATTCATGGGTGAATCCCACACTGTTTGCATTGCATTGTCAAGACCTCTTAATTCGATAACAATCGATACAAAGTTGGCACCTGTAAATGTTAATTATCATCTGACTGACTGACTCTCACACGTCTGTAGCTAAGTCAGTGCAAGTATTTCTTCGTGTGACTAATTCTGGTGTCTTCACCTGGTGAGATAACTTTCTTCTCTCTATAGGAATCCCTCCGTATCCACGACAACTACAAATCCCGTTTTGTGCTGTTAGAAAAAGACAAAGTTGGATTCAATCTAACAAATGTGAATAAAGACGACGACGGGGATTACAAGTGTATTCTGATCGTGCAACGCACCAGCATCCCCGTGGAGAAGAAATGGACGTTAAACGTTACAGGTAAATTAAATAAACACAAATTTCTGTTGAGAACTGATTGAGTAAATTAACAGAGTATGAAGTCACCAAACCGGACTACATGAACCATACATCTCGTTTTGTTCACTCGATAAAGACTGTCCTAATACGACCAGTATGTGCTCTTGAGATTCATTGTCATTGTTTCCTAACTTTGTATTGGTTTTGATTGTATCAAATCACATAATTCTTGAAATTATTTTGTCTTACATATAAGGAGAAGATTTTCTGCAGCACGCAAATGCAACAATAACCTCTCGTTATTACTTATGTCAAAACGTCAGTGCCAAAGACATCGCTGACAATTATCTTTGCTCACTTAAAATCAGGATGTAAAGTTCAAAACGTAAGAAAACTATATTTTCTTGTTAAGGTATCGTCAAATATTAAGGTAACCGTCACTATCAAACTTTCAGTTTAGTTTATGCATGTGTTTGTATATATAATTGAATAGAACTTTTAAATAGGTTATAGATAAAGGTATCGGACGGTCAGGCTAGTCCACGCGGTCGATGCATGTACTTCTATCCCAATTTGCGTGAATGATAGAATGATGGCCATGATGTCTCTGGATTGTCAGGGTATGAAACAATTGAAATATTAAAACATTGCGAAAACAAATACCTTAAAAACGAAACCAAAGCAACTGTCAGTGCCATTGGTGACTTCCTATAGAGTTTGTGGATAGACAATGCATCGTGAGACGGCGATCAGCAATGGGCGATCCCCATGCACGGACAATTGTCTCCTGTTGTAAGTAGACATCAACGACCCTAGGAGATTGAAACTGTGCGTCATTGTTTGGGGAGGAGGTCAAATCCGATTGCATCAGAATATTGTCTCACGTACACATCCAGAGGGTCATCCCTGTAGCACGCTGCCATGCCCCATACAAAGATCGCTTCTTCCAGCCCTAATGGTCCCTCCTGATTGTGCGTCCAAACCATAGGTGTCATGTTTGTCTAAGCTGGAATTCTGATCTCATTCTCGTCTTTGCCACACCCACTCAGGACGATCTGTGAAATCCAGACAATATCGCGATAAATCCAGACAGTATCGCGATCCACTAGTGAAAGGTACTGGTCTCTCCAAATGACGTGATCTTCAGCTCAATCCAAACGTTCCTGCCTGTGACACTGGTTCATTGAGATTCAGTGGACTGTTGACCAGCCTCATAGAGACAATAACGTACTGTCTGAGGAGAAAAGTGAACGCCATTGGCGTTCCATAGTCATATCTGACTGAAGTGGCAGTCAAGGATAAAATGTTATCTACCTGCAAACACGAGAATCCTGTCCTTCTACAGTGTAGTAGAACGCTAGTGACTACCTGCTTGTCAATGGGTTGCTGATCCAAACGCCAGGTATAGATTCTATGCTCTACCTGCTGATCACACTTTGACACTAAAGATGTTGACCAAGTTTCAAACATGCCTATGCATCTTCGTAATTCTGTCGTCCTTGTGGTTTGTAGACTGTCAGTTTTATCTGAAGACGTGGCAATGTATACTATAGAAATGATCCATAAAAAGTATTATCTTTAACGTTGAAGGGGCATAAGTCCATTTGTTGATGCAGTACAAAATGTTGAATTTTTAACTAATCCTGCACTACTTACTTCCTGCACCTATTGCTTACGACTTGAAACGTGCCTGTGCCAGACGATTGATGTTGAAAGCGTAGACTGTGATCACTTCCTGGTCTCGGGTAAACATCCGTCTGCACATGCATCAGTGGAAGGTGACGTCAGCCACCTCAGATTATGGGTCGCAAGACGTGTGGTTTGCCAGCTCGACTGTTTTGTATCCTATGAATTTGTGTTTATTGATAATAAACTGTCTTTTGGGTACTTTCCTTTGTTCTTCAGAGAGTGTAGGTATTACCTTTCTGTTTCGTTTTTCGTAGTACTGTTGTAGTATGGTACCTACTATAGCCTCGACGCCACACTGTTAGGTGGGCTTGGAATCAGGCGCCGGTGCGTGGTAGGAGACAGGGTGACAAGTCTCACATCAACGAGAGGATATGAACGTAGCTGCGTCCCCTTCAAGGGTGACGGAAGCTGTGGCAAAAAAGAACAACAAAAGTTCAAGATCCACATGACTGGACACTCGCTCATCCACTAGGCCCTTGTATTATCCAAACACTTGTACATTGGTGACGAGTGCGTTCTGACGCAATTGGTTATTTCTTGGGTGTCCATACGTCACAACATATGGACACATGGGTTCCGACTCTTCATAGTTCTGCCTCATCGATGTGCCGGGTTCCAAGGTTTACCTTCGACTGGGAGTACCTGCTTAGCGCAGCAACAGTGATAATTTGGTGATTTCACGTGGGCTGTCCGCCATATTGCGTACTTTGCATGTGTCCACCCGGGAATGACAGGCGGACATTCGGCAACGTGTCGGCCTCCTGCCTCACTTAACTCAGTTTTTTTTTCTTCGTTTTAGTGGACTCGCCCGTAGATGTCATAGGTGGAGTCACCTTGACTGAGCGAGTTCCGAACTACATACGTTTTAGTCGGCGCCTCCATGCAGAATTGAGGCGCCCATGCGCTTACTAGATCTGATAACCTCAGGTTTTCGGCCGTGAGATCAATAAGCAGTTTTGAGCTCAAGGCAGTGTTCCTCTCCATCCGTCACTGGGCGCAATAGCACACGGGCAACACGATTGTTGTGGAGCTTAACGAGAGTTTGACCGGGTTACTGTTACCAGACGTTCCGTCTGTTTCCAGTAATAGCTGACACCCATATCCATCTGAGCACTCAGCATATTCCTGGGTGCGGGTACATCTTAGCGGACGCTATATTGGGATCTGACAAGAGTCGATTTCATAGAATGAAGGCTACACAAAGAGCTACCGGTTTATGTGTCTCCGTCTCCGAATGGTCAGCCTGGGCAGTGGGTGGCTTCAGTATTTCCTGGGAGCGCTACACGCAAAATACATTTCCTCCGGTTTTGCTTCCAAATGTTTTAGTCACAATCAAGACTTAAAAACTTGACTTCGACTAAATTTAGTTGGTCCCAGATGACCAACCAGAGGTTGGTTTCAAGCGTCAAGAGCTCCTCTTCAACTAGCCAGATGTGGAAACATCCCAGTGCATCCTCATCCCACACCAGAACGGTTCAATTAACACACTGCATCTTCAGGCGGCATTCTGCGCCAATTGCTTTTCAGCCAGAGCATTGTTACAGCTTTGCTAATGAACATTGGACTTCCATTAGGCACATGTATAACAAGTGGCAGTCGTTCGAGCAGTTGTGTTGCCGCAAAGCAGGATCCGCTGAATGTATCCCCCCCTGTTTTAGCAGTCTCCCTACTGTATTTGTACAGGGAAGGCGTTTCAAGAGGGGCATGGTTGCCACTTCTGTTAGTGGCAATTCCCTTCGTTTTGGCAGTCCCCACTGACAGGAGCTACCGTCCATGCTTCGCTTGTTTAGCGATTGTGTACCCAGGCTGCAGTTTTGACCACCCGCCAGGAATCTTAACACGGTCTTGGACCGCCACCGCGTTGTGTCTTGCAAGCCACTCACGAACACTTCCCTTGCAGACTTGCATAGCGATAGCGACAAGGGTCATGCGCTTGGTGGTAATTGGGTCAAGTTTGAACGATACGTCATGGTTCTGTGCCTCTGGGTATTTGATTGGGATTTCATCACTATAACACATGGCAGTTGCCAGCGCGAAATGATCGATAGTTCTCACTTTCCCCTCTATCATCTGTTGTCGGCGTTGACGACGTTCCTGTGTTACTTTTGTGTTCAGCTGATGTACTCAATTTGTACATTAAGCGCAGCCAAGCCGTCAGAGACATGTAAGCGAAACCACGAGTGTTTTGTGGATACGGACTACCATCAATCATCAATGTGGCTGGTCTGGTTTCCCCTCATCTACGCCATCCTCATGTTCTTCGTACACTTGCCTGGACTATGGCACTTCACGGTAACTGTACAGTGGCATTGATAATGCATGAGTGTTTCTAGACGTCGGACACAGTATTCGCCAATCAGTATCAACACCACATGTGTCCAACGCTTCAGACCATTGCAGTGTCTATTATAGGACGCGTGATTGCGCGATTCACGCTGATAATTATCAAATCGCCCCTCATAAAAACATCACAGCGCGAATTGTCGCGCATAGTAATTTTATCCCTACCTACCTTTCAAAAACCATACGTAAAAAGCTTTATATTGACAGAGATTGATTTTTAAATCAGAGTCAGCCACAGAGTCGATAGCAACAGGAATACATGACAGAGTAACCTCCCCTTGGTAAAATCCACTACCGGCACTGAGGAAACGAAATCCCATTCACTTCAGTATGAAAATAGATAAAACTTTTCAATGAAATTATGATTTGATTAAATAATTGTTTGAAATCCTTAGACTAAAAACTCTTAACACGTTGCATATTGTATATCGCTTTCAAGACACAGTTTCCTCGATCTTTTTAAGAAAATCAGTTCGTTTTAGTTTCATTTTCGAAATCAAATAATATTATCACTTGAAGTAGTGCAGACGACGAATGTAGACGAATTTTTGTATTTACAACGGTTTGTGGTAATTTGGGGTGAATAATGTCGCGCAAAAGAATGAAAATAACTGATTTTTTGCACAAAGTACCATTGAGAAAGTGACAACCACGTCTTCCCAGACCCGTCGTCTGTTACAGTGACGATGTGAATCGAAGAGGCGAGCAAAACCCTGAGACCGACCCGGTCCCTCCGTCTCTAAAAGATGAAACCAAGTGTTTTTCAGAAAAAATGGTTGAAAGAATGGCCATGGCTCTCTCAAAACGAGCTTGGTGCGATGTTATGTGACTATTGTAACAAAAATAAAATGAGCAATAGTTTTACTGGTGATGGCTGCAATAACTTTCGTACATCCACACTATCTAGACATGCACATACCAATGACCACCAGCTTTCCCTAATAGCTATGACGAACTCGCAAACGACAATAGAGGCTTCTGTGTCTAAT